CGTCCGTCTTCCGATGGACAATCAGTCGGGAAGGGTGGTGGGCTGTGGAGCATTTGTGCTGGGAGAAGGGGAAGGAGGGGGGTGGTTTAATTTAAACTGTAAATCGCTTGGGGGTTTATGCATTTTGCTACTGCAGCAAATGCTCGTTTAAAGAAACAGCGCTGAAGTATTGTTATTTTAGTATAAGTGAAGTCGTCTTCAACCAACTGTATTACCCATCACGTTTTTTCTTTTTTTAAGGTATGTATGCGTGACCTTGTGTCAATTGTTTGCAGGTCGTGGCAGTGGAAATAGTGGAGGATACTATGGGCAAGGCAGTATGGGTGGAGGAGGATGGCGTGGAATGTATTGAAGGATAGCCTTGCTCCTACAAAACATCCTGGAAGAAACAGTCTCTGGTCTACTAGACTTTCTTACAAAATTTAATTTCTTTTGTATTTTAAGAACTTTATAATGACTGAAGGAATGTGTTTTCACAATATTATTTGGTAAGCAACAGATTGTGATGGGAAAATCTGTTTTCTGTAGGTTTTATTTGTTGCATACTCTGACTTTAAATAAATTTTTATATTCAAACCACTGATGTTGATACTTTTTATACTAGTTACTCCTAAGGATGTATTACATATTCGAGACTACAGTCGGTTTAAGATGTTGTACTATGGTTCAATAAAGGTGGTTGTACTGTAACTCCTATGAACACTGATTCAGTTCTATGTAATCTTGGTGTAGTGAATGAGTTTGGAAAATTCACTTGTTTAAGGGGAAAAAGGTAGATGAATAGGTTAGTTTATTTGGTAACAATCTTTCCTAGACCCTTTTGATAAGTTGTATGTAATAATTTCGACACAGCGTAAAGCTGTGGAGGCTCAAAGTCATCGTTCTGGCTTTCTTGCTTGTACTGCCCAGTCTGCCATCCCCTTCCACCGCACAGCTGCCTAAACGAGTCGTGCCCCAGGTTTGCGCCTCCACAAAACCGAGCAACAGCGTTCCTTTCCACGCTTTGCCCTAGAGCCCTGGATACCGCGTTTCACGTGTGTAACTTGCAAACTCAAACACTAGCAGAGCTTTTAGCCAAGGTGAAGTAGGTCAAATACAAGTTAATTCGGAGCTATCTACATGGTATTTTTTTTTCCCACAAACACTGCTTTTTGGGAAGAGTGGGGGATTCGGAAGCAAGTTAGAAATTGTATTTAAACATGGTTCAGCTTTTTTTTTTTTTTTTGCTGCGCAGAGCTGACTTGTCTGTATTTGTTCAAAACTTGACAAGCCGTTACAGGGGTGAGCTCATCAGAAGCAAAGTATCTATCTCTAAAATAACTACAAGCCCAATACTTGTCAAATAACACACGACCCAAACACGTTGATAAAACCTTTTGTGCATTTGTGACATGTAAGATATGTAAGAAACTGTTGTTTGACAACACTTAACATGCCTGGTGTGTAATGAAAAAAGGTATTTATTCTTCTGAGCCAGTGTGATCTCCCAAACTAACTGCTTTGTCCTCGATGCCTCCCTTCAAATGTCAAATGTGATCTTGGGTATTGAAAGTCTGTCACCTGTTTTGCTAGTACTGTGTTATCTATGTAATAAATGTCTTGCTGTGGGAGAGAGGAGAATGGAGTTTATTTCACTAGCAGAGCGTGTTCTTGTGTCAAAGTGACTGGAAATGACAGCGGAGAGGGTAATTGGCATAGGACGCTTTCCAAGTACTGGAATATTTTTGGCTAGGAAGGGGAGGGAAGACGAGATCTCGGCACCAGTGATCTTACAGGGCTCTGTTTTGACTCTGTGCTTTTAAAAAACTAGTGGGTTCTTGGTCTGTTGCTGAAAAAGCTCGTGTGTTTCACAGAACTAGGATGGCAACCGTCAGGACAAGAGTTAACCCAGTTGCAGGAAAAAACATCTTAGAGAGTAAGGTAGAGGGTGTCTACGCTTAACGGAAGCGTGTTTTTTTCTAGCAGCGTAGCGGATACCTGTAAAACAGAGTCAGCTCTGTACCCTTCCCTCGCTCGGGTGTACTTTGCGTTCTGTTTTATGGGAAGGCAGGCTAACACCTGTTGAAGCCTTACCTTTTGAGAGCAGGTTGGGAGTTACGCTTCGAGCTTGTTTTGCGTAGCCGAGCAAACAGCAAAAAGCTTGCCGAAGGAGATTCCACTGCACTGGGCAGTGAATCCCTTCAGGCTGTCCTGTCCCTTCCACAGCGGCACGCCACCCTGCAACCAGCAGCATTCAGCACCGCACCTTTCAAGTCACTTCAGTAGCGTTTGAATTGCAGAGGGATTGGTCTTGAGAAGAAAACCTATGAAAAAAGGTTGCTCGGTCGGTGAGGAAGTTTTAGATTTGATCGCCGTACGCAAGGACATCTTGTAGCCTTTGCTGCGGAGAGTACAAGGCGCTGAAGCGCGTGTTCGCCTGCCGAGAGCGGCCGGTGCAGGCCGGCGCGCGATGGGGGCCGGGCAGCGGCCGGGCTTCCCCTTTGCTGTCGGAGAAGCAGGCGCGCGCGCAGGTAAGTGAACCACCTGTGCAAGAAGGTAGGCGCAGCTCCTACGACCTCTGCGTGGGGAGGAGGAGGAGGAGGAGCAGGAGCATATTTTTCTCTGTTTACTTGCTAACGGCCCCAGTTCGTTAGGTCAGAAGTCGTTCCCCAAGAAGAACACAAACGAGGCTGCTCTGATACTGTGTGAACAGTTGCAGTTTCTTTTGATGAATGGAGTAGGTACCCCGCAGCTCTTCCTACGGTGGCTGTGAGGATGATAGAGAATCACCGTCTGTCCAAGAACAGGGCTTTACAGAAAGACAAGGATACAGGATTAATAATAGCGCGGCCCAAAAAACTGCTAAAAGCGGGCCAGGTACGTAGTTTGATGCTAAGGGAAATAAAACCACGCTGAACATGCAGTATTCACCACTTCCTTCAGGGCAGAAGTTTTACTTGGAGTAAGTAAAAGCAATCCGAATAATTTACCCACTACTGCAGCGACATTTTCCCATGCAAACAGGGCAGCACAGAGGAGAGGAAAAGATTGCAGTTAAGTAACAGAAATTTAATTTATTGCATGTTATGGAAATGCACTATATTCTTCTTTTAGAAGATTGCCCATTTTAAAATTAATTTTGTTTAGTTGCATACTTTTTGAAAAGTTTCTTATTAAAGCAGTACAGATTAGCATCGTCTGTATCCTAGATCAAACCCTGCTGCCTCCATACCTGCCCCACATAAAAGCCACTGGAAAAAATTCTCGGAATGCTTTCAGGAGGCACGCGAGCAGCACTTGGTTTGTTATTTCATTAGCAGGGCAGCTCCCCGCTCCCCAATGTATGCAAAGATTTTCTAAGCAACTTGAGCAAGTCATAATAAAATACTCAAAACACTCTGAATTACAAATTTAAATAAAGTGACATTATTCCCATAGTTAAGTTGCAGATCAATTACATTTATTTTTTTCCAAAAGCTATTTACAGATGTACAAGTATTTGTTTTGTATTTTACAAAAAGTTACATCAGGTAATTTTAAAAACATTTTTCTTTACAAAAGCTACATAAAGCAACTACATTCAGGTGTTAAAAAGAACAGCTGTATTAGCTTTTAGAATATTAACTAAATATCTATCCTCAGAAGACAAAGCTAAGCTAAACAAAGTGCAAGAACAATTAAAAGACCTGTTGCAAAGCCTCCCTTTTCCTGTTAGTAAGAATACTCCAAGCCCATGGCTGAAGGAACTACCGGGCCGGTAATTCTGCTGACGGCTGGTCAGTGCTGACCAGAGCGTGGGGATTCCACGGCTGGACCCCATCGCAGGAGCGGCTAAGGGAAGAGGGCAGATGGGCTCTAGTGCAGTGACGTGGAAGTGAGGACAATTTATCCAAGGATGTATTTGTATTTGCCTACGGGAAGAATAAGAACTTACACTGCAGCAGAAGTTACCATCAGTGTGAAGAGTGGTCAGACCTAGACGTACTCGAAAGCGCTCTGGGAAAAAAAATGAAGTTTAGGAACAAACTCTGAAAGTTTGAGAAAGATGATGACAAAAGAAGGAAGAACCTTCCTGTCCAACACAGAAAGGACACGGTCCCCAGTATTTAATCCGATCCTAGCCTCTTTTAGCGGCAGATTCACTCTGCTTCTAGAGCTATGCAGTGCCTGCACGTACAAGCTTGAAAGCGTGACTTAGATTAAAGTCACGCAAAGATATTTGTTCAAGGTTACAGACAACATCAGGCAAAGATTTTGTGACGGACATCTCTCTTTTAATGGAAACACGGATGTGTCCAATTAATAGTTAATTTAAAAAAATAATTCAGCAAAATGCACCTTTCATCAAGTGCCTAGAGGCACTGTTTATTACCTGTCTGACAAAATCTCCCCTTACACCTGTGACTACAAAGAACACAGCTGTCAGTGCAATATTCTTGGATGTATCAAATCTTGATAACTGAGGGGAAGTGAACAAATAGGGTACTTGGCAATAACTTATCGGACCACTGCATTAATTGCATTACTTTTTTAAAATACCATTTCAAACCAGCTACCGCACAGTTTTGCTTCACAACAGCATATCACAGGCACATCCTGTAGCAGAATTAGGTTGGACTTGTTGCAGACTAGCCTGTAAAAGCAGGTAAGTGCATCACCTTTTTCGAGACCATCATAACAACTAAGATACTCATCAAATACATGTTAACGCCGAGTCTCCTCTCTAAACTGCCCTGCTTCCTCCAAAAGAGTTTCTGAGCCGTTTGTTAGACTAACGTTGCCATCTGTAGTTTTAACATGAGCATCTTCTACGTTTGGGTCCCATTTTCTCTATTTGTTTCAAGAGGAAGCAGACAAGTAACTCCTCCACGGTACCTTGAAAACGCAACTCTAAACTGCTTACCTGAAATTCTGGAAATACTGCTGTACGTTCTTTAGTTGGTTGGTTTTGTTGTGTTTTTTGTTTTTTTTAACAGGATTAGCTAAATGCCAAAAGGTAATAAATATCTTGTAAAATAATCTTATGGCACGTTAGAAGAGCACCTCTGTATAAGTATTGCGTGGCAGGAATCACAGACCCGAACAGGCTTTGGTGAAGAAGGCAGAGGCAGTTCATTGTCAGAACAGGCATTACAGAAGATCTCACCGCAGTTTCTACAATGATGCTAAATAATGGGGAGAAGATTAAAAATTAAAATTTACAATGGAAATATAGTTGGTAATTGGATACCAATAAACAATATGTGCAGAGCAATCTGAAATGTGACTCCTTCTACTTCTTTGGTCTGAGCATGGAATCAGTTTTCAAAAGATCATCTAAATCCCAATCTATGATGCAATCCTAGACAGACCACAGACAGATAGATAGATGGTCTGTCTAGGACCGTATATATAAATACTTTTTTATATATATGTATATATATGCTTTGCAGATTTCATTCAATCCCTGGATTTAAGACCATACTCTGCTATATAAAAATATAAGCAATGATATTCAAGACAGTGGATGATTCTGTCAGGTAGCTGACTGAGCTTTAACATTAAAAGGTAAAATAAAAAAATTCCTGCACACGTTAATAAAGCATGGAAATCAACATCACATTTTACTTTAAAATGACAATAAACTCATAATTTCTTAGTCTACTGTATAAAAAAATGCCATAAAAAGACTTCCACACGTGTCAAATTTTAACAGTGCCAGAGCTGACAAGCGTTTGAGATGATGATTGCACAAAGTAGGCTGAATATTTTTTAATATGTTCCTTTGTGGCACTTCACCAAAAGGCAGTGTTTCTTTTCAAATTAGGGCCCAGCTGCATTGTACATATCAAAGAACTAGAAAGCCATCTCAAAAATAACTACGCGTTCATCTGAGCATTGACATTTCATGCCGCATCTCTAAGATAATTAATGTTTTTCTCATAGTACATGTAAACAAGTTGGAAGAAATTTCGTTAAAAGTTTTACCTTCCTTTTGGAAAGAGAAAATTCCTTTTCACATAACTTGCAATGTGTAGCCTCTTTGTCCTTCAACCAAACCTGGCCCTGGAGAAAAAAAATATCGTAACTGTATGTATCTGATGAAGTTAAACTTTGGGTTCCAGGGGACAAGACAAATCAATAGCAGCACATTTAACTGCCTGAATTGCTTAATGGCCTGAGATCGGTATAATGTCACAAAGACACTCTAAAGCAGTACAAGACTGCTCCAAAACCCTGCAAAACCTCATGAGACAAGACAGAGCAGGAATAGGTGCAAACAGAACGTGCTCGAGGTGGTACAGCTGGTCAATGGCTGAGCTGGGAAAAGCAGAAAGGTATCCAAGTCTCAGAGCTGAAGCCTATTTCCCCGCCCATCACACAGGAACAGTCCCCAAGATGCACGGAAGCAAAAAAACCAAGACAGTGTCAAGAACTGTTAATTTCCTTCCGCCTAAACCAATTAATAAAAACAGGAATCTGCTCAACAAAACCATTTCAGACACCTTTACTTGGACTGAAATAATACGCAAGGTGACATATCACATGATCGAACATGTGCAGACAAAATCTCTGCTCTCAAGTGCTCCCTGCACTTTGATCAAATATTTATTCAAATATCTAATTGATCAAATATCTGATCAAATATTTATTGATCACTAAGAAGCAGTGCATAATTTAAGCTCATATTCTGTCCCAGATACACTTTCTACAATATAGAAGGGTGTACCATTGCAAGAAAAGTGTCAAACTGAACAGCTGTGCATCAAACAAGAAAAATCAAGAAGAACTGAGTATCTTTTCCCCCGTGAGGTTTCAGGGAGTCTGTGGTTCTCTCCCACTGGAGAAAGTCATACAATGGGTCTCTTCTGAATAGCTGCTGGTGGAGAGAAGTCTTCTCGTGCTTACAAAATATTTCAAAGGGAACAGTAAAAAAAAAAAGTTTCTCTTTCCTCCAAATACTACTAACCTGCAATGCTTTGTTCGCTTCTTTTATATCTTCTATTTTCAGCTTTGATCTAAAGAATAAGATAATGCTATTTCAAACTTCTATATTGTCAGTTATGGTCTAACAACTTTAAAAGTTGTAGGTACTTAAAAAATTATAAGCAAAGTACTCTGAACTTTTAGTTAGTAGTTTGTATTACAGCAGCATCCAGGAGATGCAATCAATATCACACCCTGCTGTACTAAGCACCACACAAAGACAAGCTCTCTCCGAAGAGCTCGGAATCCTTTGAATGCCTGTGAATTTGCTTGGGGTTATGTGGATAAGAGAAATTTGTACCAGCATAGCTCTGTGCAAATACCTAAAGCTAGCACGCAGCACTGGTACAAAACCAGAATTTAAACTTCTGGATTTGTACAAGACCGCATGATGTCATTATGGAGAAACCATAATGACTCAGAACTGACTGAGTCCCCACAGCCATCCAGTGCCAACCCACTCAGAACTGACTGAGTCACAGTAAGTGATTCTATACACTAAATTATTCTATAGGGCATGAAAGTCCACACTAGGCACAGCAAAACTACTTGAAGACAGAGATCATTAAATGAAACTTTAACAACACCTAACAAGCTGTGCTCAGAGCTTATTGCTCACTACAGTCTGAAGGGGTTTAGATAAGGTAATGCCTTACATCCTTTACAGACTTAGAAACAACGGCCTACGATTGTCATACGGAGAATCTTCATCTCTTCAACAAAAGGAATCCATGAGCTTGCATCCTCACAAAAAGATAAGCACTGTCCTGCTGGAGCCAGAGCTGTTATCTTCTGCTTGGGTTCTTCTTTGGGAATGCCGCACCACGCAAACTAGCCAACTGTTTCCAATGCAAAACAACTCCTAATGCCCCCAGGCCCTTTTAAACTAGGATTTTCTGTTCAGAGCGCGATAATGACCCATGAGTTCACAGGTAGCCCACCAGCCAAAAATAAAAATAAACAGACCTGACCTAACTAGACGTATTTCTTTTTGATAACTGGCTAGGTAATATTGTCATATACAGTCTAATTCACATAGAACCATACAATCTCCTGAGTTGGAAGGGACCCACAAGGATCCTCGAGTCCAACTCCTGTCCCTGCATAGGACAACCCCAAAATTCACACTATATGTCTGCGGGTGTTGTCCAAGTGCTTCTTAAATATTGTCAGGCTTGGCGCCGTGACTACCTCCCGGGGGAGCCTGTTCCAGTGCTCCACCACCCACATGACCACCATCCTATAATTTTTCTTCATTCAAGTTTATATGACAAAAATAATCATTATCATGAATAACAAAATTACTCGCTCAGCTTAGATGCCAGTTCTTCGAGAGCAGCTTCTTGGTCTTGACATATCGTTTTCAGTTGCTTGTTCTTTTCCTGAAGTTTAAGGAACTCCTTAAAACAAAAACAAAACAAACAAACAAAAAAACCCCTGAATTATTCCCAAAATTGTATTTGCCTACTGCCTAGAAAATCGCTACTACCCAAAGCTGATCTTACTGAGAAAGCCAAGTGAATGAATGATTCTCAAATCCAACTTGAACAACAACAACTCAGGATTGAACACTCTTAGACCCCAAGAGATGAAGCATTTTTGCTTCTGCAGTCCTCTCCAGGAAGAAAATAAAAAACGATTGACTGCAGAGATCAACAACACTATATAGCCATGTATACCAAGTCAGAGAGAAGCTGAAGCACTTTCTGGTCTACGATGAGAAGACACAGTCTTCATAGCAACTGAGAAGGGAAAACAAGGATTTCATTTTTCCTTATTCAAAGCACTGAGTTCTGATCTGAGGACTAAATGTGGAGTAAAAAACCCATTTTTTTTCTTAATCTATTTGTGAGAATACATTAATCTAATCTTTATCTACTTGCAGAAAGTCTTAAAAATACCATGTCTAAGTCCATAATTAACTTTGCAGTCAATTTCTAAATTACTCGTCAAGTTTTACTGCAGAATTTACTTTTTTAAGGTTAATTATTTCTTGGGTCTCTGTTCTCAGATGAGATACAGTTTCCTTTTCCTTTTGAAGATCATCCTCTAAGGTTTGCCGCCACTCTTTTTCTATCTTCAAATCTGTTTCCAGCTGAAGCCTAGAATATGCAAAACAAACAAAAAAAACAATCACTGTGCACAATAGTATGATTTTTAAAAAATAAAAATTAGTTTATTTCTGGGTGCAATATACTATTATCATAATAAAAAATGATCAACTTACATGTTTTCTAAAACAGAAATAATGTATCAATATTATAATATTTTAGACATCGGTGTAACAAAACAAAACAGTCACTTAGAAAACGCTTTTAAAAAGAAATGTATTTAAAGGACCAAGAATATGGCATCATTTTGAAGAGCTGACCTTTGTAATAAATGAGCAAGAGAAGATTAACCACAAAATTCTAAAGTATTTTTAAAACATGCATAAGGGAAAGCCCCCTTAACCTTACACAGCTTGTTTCTAAAATAAAACCAACCAACCACATTGCCATTGGTGATGCAGACAATGATTGCATGTATCTCTGGTGCTCATAAAAATTATTTAATATTACACCCTTAGATATGAATCTTCTATTTTAGACTAAGGCTTATGGCATTTTGAACAGAATTGAAAATAAAGGAGGAAGGACTTTAAATTACTATTCTTATTGAGCTTCCTACATCGCTGAGGTTCAACATAAAGAAGGATGTAAATTCTATTAGTTTAACTGGAGTCCAGTTAGCGGAATTAGGGCTACTCTGATTGAGGATCCACTCTAGCTGGAATTTCACTATCAGTTTCATGGAAGAGTTGGTATTTAGAATGTTATGGAGAAACCAAAGGACAACCTTCTACATCTAAATTGTGCCAACACAATAAAAGAGGAAAAAATCTGAGAGTAGTCATGCAAGGTTTTTTGATGGAAAACCTGTATCCACATTAATTTTCCTGTTTTAAAACCAAAACCATTTTTAAAGGAAAGACTTACATTTTGGGACACTACCTCAGCATCTGGCTGGAAAAGATCAGAAGTGAACATGACCTTGAGGTTTCAGAATTGCAGAATTCTAAGGCTGGGGTCTGAACTGTTCTTTTGCCAAAATCTGCAAAGATGACTGTGGTAGTAAAGTGAACATTTGTCATGACAGTTAAACAAGTTTATTAACATTCAGAGTTGTAAGAGAGGCAGAGTGGGCTAATAACTGGATTGGAAATGACTAATTTTTATGCCCCAATCCTTGTGCCACAGATTTGCACTGCCTTAAATAATTTACTTGTTTTCTTTCCAAACAGGGGAAACACCTGCTCTTACAGGGAGCTTTTTACATTACGTATTTATTTAAATCAGTACTGAAGGATTTAACAGGAGAAAGGGCAGAGGGCTGGCTTTTATATTGCTTTTTAATATTATGTTTCCAGTGGATTTTTATTTTTTATTTCCTGCACAGTGGTAAATTAAACAACTTCTACCTTATCCATAAGCCTGATCAATTAAACTATTCTTATGCCATTTCTGTTTAAGTTTATACTACTACATGCTTGTGGGTTTTGTTAAAAGTGTGTATTACTACTACTACATCACTACGTATTTTCCCCCCACTTACGATAATTTCCTCATGAATTAAGCTGGCACTTTAGACAAAAAATAATACTCTTCTTCCCCCTCCTTTCAAGCTGCACACCATTTTAGAGGCACCCAAAGGTAGCTTGACTTTCTTGGAATGGCGTATTTTCTTCCACCTTGTCAGTACCTAACATGAAGATCTTTAGTATTTACATTCTGTTCAAAACCATTTATCAACAACTGGCCTGTATTAAGACACAGGACATATTGCAATGTAGAATGTTTACTACTGTATATTTTTCCAAACAGGAAAGATACTTACAGCTGTTTCTCCTTCTGGGAGAATTCTTTCTGCAGACTTTCAGATTTGTTCACATATTCCTGTTTAAGCTTCTCGTCCTCGGCCTCAGCCTCCATTTGAGCCTTCTCTGCTTGCTGCAATCTGGTGTAATTCAAATCAACTTTGGGTAAAACTGAAGCTAGAACTAGGGTGTAGAGGGTGAAGAAGACAAATAAAAGAAAAATGGGGAAATAGAAACATTTCTAAATAAAAACAAAGTTTGGGGGAAACTCACAAACTCAAATGAGAAATCCATACAATGCCTAGAGAACTAGCTCCTGTTTTTTCATACAGTAAGAGAGTAATCACTGTAAGTAATCACTGTTTTATTTTATGTTCATGAATAACAGATGCGAAAGCATAATGATACATATTTTAGAATTGAAGCATATACGTTAATGCTTTTTTTTTTCCTTCAGCATATGTTCCTGTGTTATTTTTGGAAGCTTTTTTTTTTTTTAAGTAAATCCTGTAGAAGTACTTGGCTTGTACTAATCACCCATTAAGACAGGGCAGAGCATGTGTTGTGCAAAAGCAGCTCAAAACAATTCAGGCATAAGGCTGAATACAGAGCACTGCAATCAGACAGCAAAAAAACTTAACTAGCCTAATACAGCAAGACACACCCTGACAGGTCCCACTACATTTACAGAACTACCTCAACTACATCATATTATGAAATTAATTTAAATAATCTGTATTAAAAATAATGCATTCTTACAGTGGTTAAAATAGCTCCATACTATAGACAAAATAAATTAAACCAATTAATCAAGAAGTGAGGGATTGTTTTTTTTAATTTAACCTTTCCTTTCTGAATTCCAGGGGTTTGTTTCTGCTTCACTCCCCTTGGAATCCATTAGTTCACTGTGGTTCCTCTCTGCTTGGTCACCTCTTCAGTCCAAAAAAAGATGGATGTCATGTAACAAAAGTAAAGGTACTAAAATGGAATTTGTGCTATATCACAGCTACACCTGTCTTGATGAAAAGGCAGGAGAGTAAAAGCGCCTGTAAAATACCACTGAATGTCCCCACCTGCTGCGTCTTGTTTAACAAAACTGTTTCAAGGGCCTCTCAGGTAAGTGGTGGGAGAAATCTGTGATACTCTCTGTGCTTGATTTCTCACTTCCCAGCAGCTAGCTGAATGCAGAGTAAGTCACAACTAATGTCAGCTAAAAAGAAATTAAGTCAGTAATATGACTACATTTGTGCTTCTACTGATGAAGTTGCACCAGCAGGAGTTTCCAAAAGCTGCCAGTAAACAAGTGAAAAAAGATTGGAATTAAACTGCCTTATAAAATGTGTACTATCTCATTCAACTATACCAGTTGCTTTAAGAATGTTCCCAGTCACATTTGCTATAGTAGCGCACAGAGAGCCAAAACACATATGGAAAGGAGAACACTGGGAAAAAGCAGGGTCAGTTCACTAAGCAAAAGAAGCTGAATAAAGCTACAAAAGACAGTAACACCAAAAGCAAGTTAAAACCCTCCCTAAATCACAAATTAAGCTGCAGTGTAGTTTCCACAACCAAGGTAGAAAGGGACCTTGCTACCCAAGAAACATGCTAGCCAACCCAGGCTACAGCACCATCCTCTAGACTAGCACCAAGGCTAACTGCACCACTGTAATTCAGACAAATGCTGAGCTGGACCGAGTTCGCAGCAGGATTTGCAATTCAGGTGATACTGAGGCACATACTTGTTTGCATAGATGACCGTGAGATGGTTAACGCTCCCATTTCTGCTATGGTCTACTTGTTGTTTTAGTCAGTGTTTCTGGTTTGGGTTTTCTTTGAGGATGGGAGATATTTATTTTTCTTTCTTAGCAGACAACCCATGTTAAAGGCTCTTTCTAATTCCAAACCAAGGAGTAAGGTAATATATAATCATGGAGTAGAAACCCTTTCTGTATTATTGCGTCCTGCCTCCACTTTTGCAAACACATTCCCTTCTGCTGAAAGACCCTAAGATTCTTTTCCCAGTAAACTTCCCCTCCATGCTTCAGAGCAAACAGTGGGAAGTGCATCAAGGGCAGTCAGCAGCTAAAACTCTCTTATTTCTGCAGTGCAGGCAAGCAGCAACTCAAAGCAGAAACAGGAGTTGTAAAGACTGCCTAATGATAGGTGGAGGGAGGGAAAAGGAGTTGGGCAAAACCGAAGGTTGTGATTACAGCGTAGACAAAGCCACAGACAGGCAAGATCCTTAGCTGACAAACGAGTTAGACAAGTTCAGGATCTGGGCCCTGAATGTAAATCTTACTTATTACTACAACTTCCACTGTAGCTATCATGGTGCAGCTGTTCTAGGCAGGAGTCACAGCTACAGAATTTGCTAGAGCATGCTGCCTTCCCTGTCTGAAGCCCCATCCAGGTCCAGGCTCCAAACACATTTTAACTTCATGAAAATATTTTACCCCACATCACATCAGCAAAATGGAATTGTGCTTTAGCTGTTTTATCTCGAAGCCCTGCAATTCTTCCACTGTACATACTGAACATGTATGTTGACACCACTCTCTTTTTTTAAATATATTGTTCTGATATAGCACTCAACCCCCCTTCCCCCAAACTCCTGTCACGCTGTTTAAGAGAACAGTGCTAGTTACAACCAAAAAACCCAACGGAGAGCATGCTTTTGGGATAAATACAGCGTAAAAGTGAAAGAAATAAGCAGGGGAGAAAGGAAATACTAGTCAGAAGGGCTACTTTTGAAATCCGTTAGTACCGTAAAGAACAAGAAAAATCACTAATTAGAAACAAATGTCATAAAAATGTACAGTCAAAGTAAAGATAGCTAACTTTTTAAAATAAACTTTGTTTGACAATTAAGAAGCAATTAAATAGCATTAGAAAACTAGCTTACGTTTGCTTAATAATAGTGCAATAATTTACTTTTTTTCTTTTTTTTTTTTTCCTTTTTTTTTTTTTTAGAGGGGTAAAGTGAGATCGGAGATGATGTTCTTTCAGAAAACAAAATAGAACCCAGCTACGATCAGTTACAGTGCAGGATTTCTAATACCACTTTATATTTAAAATTGTAATTTTAAAATTCTTAAGGTGTATTTTATCAGTAATTATTTAAACACAACAGATCTGGAGGAGCTTTCAGAATGATATATCTTTCACAAGTTTATACTGCTGCTGAGCTTCATTACTGGCACATTTGACGAATGACATTGCAATAGTCCTAGTTTGAGTTAACAGATCTTTGTCACTTCATGAATGCAGTAGACAAAAATCAAAGACAGATGAAGGCAGCAAAATAGTAAAAACAAAAATTGGGATAAAGGATAAAAAGAAAAAGAAAAAAGAGGAAAAAAGGATGTCAATAAAAGAATATTCATGTCACTATATTTTTTAATACATAACCATGTTTTTCATAATCAGATTTAAATGAAAAAAAAATACATGTCAAACACCAACATGATGGGGCTTATGGGTATGTTATATTTTACAATTAAAAAGATCAATGTTGCATATAGGCCACTAAATTAAAACATATGAATCACATTTTAATATTATGTAATACATGCAGTCTAACCATAACGTAAATTCATGTACTGGAATTTTAGTCTTTCACTTTTCAACCTTTCAGTGTAAAAACTCATTACGTCATTGAAAATAATGGTACTTCCAAAGCAACAGACAACAATTTTAAGAGCTTCAGCAAATACAGCAGTGATCCATGAAGGCATTAAATGTTTATATTAAGCACATGCTTAAGTATAAGCAAGATCAATGCTTTGGTTTCTATTGCATTTCATTCAGGTGGGAAAAAAAAAGAAGATATAATAATGAATCAGAATTTTGAAACAGCTGAAAGAACAACTTTTGATATCAGCACAAAAACCTAGGACTGGAAGAAAGATGGTGGAGGAAGAAAAATGAAAGATTAAGTTTTTATTTAAAACAAGTGTATTTGTTAAAAAGAAAAAAAAAATCAAACAGTAAAGCACTAGTTAAAATTTCAGAAAGGTTCTTTTTAAATTTTCTAGTTGAAAGTTACATTTCAGTGACAACTGTGTAGGAATGCAGTAAAATGTAAGGGGATGGAGAAATGAATGAAGAAAAAAAAGATGGGCCTGTACCTTTGTTCTAGTTGTTTCATAGTTGCATTAATTTCATTGGTCTTATCCTCTAATCGACCAATTATTTCATTCTTTTCTTTCATAGCATCTTCAGAAACCTGCGTTATAAAAAAGGTTAAAACTGAAGTAGGTATACATTACACTGTTACCTCATGGGTTTTTTTTTCTTCAATATCTGAAGGGAAAAATGTTAAAATGGCTTCAGGTTTTGTTTCTTTTTAAATATTCCCATCTAAAAAACGTAGTTGACAGTACTTACAATTTTATGCCTAGCAAATTTGTAGTTTTGTACTTTGCAAGCATAGCTGCTATTTAATAAGTATACATTTTTCATTTTGGTTTCCTTTCTTAGTTAATAATTTTGCAAGTCAACTTAAATTCACTGATCATATTTTTAAGTAGCCCATCAGAACCTTACCAATAAAGAACTAAGATGCTTAGTCCTGGAAATCCCTAAGGTTCTCCAATTCTTATCAAGCTACCACATGCGCCTAAAAATCTTTTAAGAATTTTACTAACACATTGCACAATTTCGATTGCTTGCAGAGCTGTTGAAGATCTAAATAAAATGTAAAGCATTATCCTTGCTGTACAGAACAACACTATCAACCGGTACCTAAACAGCAGAGACTGGGCATGACTAAACTGTTTTACTCTGCCCGGGAAGTGGGTCTGAATGTCATTAAGTGAAACCAGTGTTACTCATGGTCCCCAGAAGCACAGCTTTAAAAGAAAAACAAAACCCTACAGATCCTAACATACTGAAGAACATTCTCTTCTTACTTTTCTTTCCAGCTCTATATTTCTCTTCCTCTGGTCCAGTTTCCTCACAGTTCCAGGTGGAGAAGTAGCATCCCCTGTCCATCATCTCAATTATCTCTCTGCAGCATCCTGATTTTTTTCCCCTCATTCTGCCACAGATTTGACTGGTTTCTTGTGCTGGTTTTGATAATTTATTCCATAAATCAAATTTATGTTCTGCATAAATAATTCACTGCTAAACTTCCATGGTGTTTCGTCATTTGTTAACTGCATGTTGGGTCTCTCAGATCCATACTCCCCCAAAGAAGCATTGCATTGTTACAGATTTTCTTAGTTTGTTAACAGATTAAAACTAAAACAAGACCCTGTAATTAGCTTTTTCCATTTAACACAACCTTGTTTTCCAAATTCCTTTCCTTACTTTGAAAGTTCAGATCTCCTCTTTAACTCCTCACTACGTGCCTACATTCTCTTCGTTTTTTATACAACACAGGCCAAAAAGTGTCATTATCACTCGATATACTATTACTCTCTCTATTCCACACAACATGTTATTAGGCTATGATCTTATTCTCATGCTTTTTTCTTCTATGAACTCACTAACATTAAGTGACTGCCTTAGGAACTGCTTTGTGTGAAATCATGCTTGCATCAGTAATGTTCCAAAATGACAAGCTGACCTAAGGAGCGGAAAGAAACCAAAAATTAAGGCAACAGCAGTGTTTAACTAAACAAAATGGTAATGCATCTCTCTCACTCCAATCAAAGTCATTTCATCAGTTTAACAGCAGACTGTTCCTTTACCTGCAGCTTTTGGTACATTTCCATGTTAATTGCTTTAACTTCATCAAGCTGCTGTCGCAGGCCTATGAGGGCATCCTGCTTCTCGTGGATGTCCTTCTCCAGCAACTTCATGGCAAGTTCGATCTCATGTTTCATGCTAACTTGAACCACTAGCTCATTCTCCATATCCTATAAAACACAAACACAACGCAACACAGAATATTTAAATAATTATGCAACATTTTATCTGTTTTGAAAAAGACAAAAAGCTGACTCTAACAGAGCCACAGCACCACCTATTTCACCACTTCAGAAATTCTGCCCCTCTTTAACTTTGCAAATTATCCACTACATAAACATTACACTCTCATGTACTTAGTGATCGATTTTCTTTTTTTTTAAACTTTGGGAGAAGACAACCCACATAGTAAGAAATTACCCTGCCAGTGTTGCATAGAGTTGCCTAAGTATTAATTACAAAAAGAGAACTAAAGGATTTCTATTTTCACAAGAAAGATTTAGCATACATACAGAGCATATAGTATTGTTAACAACTTATCTAAAAATTTCTCAAAGAAAATGTATTTTCTTTACTATGCTTTAGCTACATTGTTACAGAAATACTGAGGTATTGATTGCTCTGTTAAATAACCCTTTTTATTACAGGCACTTAGGGAAAAGGAGATTAAAGTTGATTAAAGGCAGCATCTAAGCTCAGCAAAAGCAAAACTAGAAATATTCATATACTGACTCTTCTCAAGCATAATCTTTTCTGGAACTGTTGTGTAATCCTAGAAAAGAACACTTACTTGTCGAAGCTGTGATTCTTCTCGAAGCTGTCTCCGTGCTTCATTGTACATTTCATCTAAACCCTGCCTGGAGTGTTTGTATGTTTGAAGTTCTGCTTCAACATCCACTTTAGTTGCCTACAAAGATATAGAGTATCTATCTTTCTTCATCACAAGTTTATAGCATAAATTTAACACTGGGGGGGACACGACACGACTTAAAAATACATTCTCCAAGCATAGTACAAACATGGAAAGAGTTGTTTCTGCTATGTGGTCATCAGTTTTATAATGAGAATTGAGTAAATCTAGCAAAATAAACATCTGTACTGCAGTACAGTCCTCTTTCAGTAAGTCACTCTTAATACACAATTATTTCAGTACTGAGCAATCCAAACATCTGCTTAACCTGTGCTTTTACCAATTATCCTGTAAAAGACATCAAAGAAGTTACATAAGGAGCTACCAAACACAGCTTAAACAAAAAAAGTTCAGCAACCATATACACAATTACTCCAAATGACATTCCATATAATGAGACAGGTCAGAATGGACAGTTTGGCAACTAAAACACGCACTATTTTCTTTTTTGATTTTCTTTTTTGACAATATTGCCTTAAATGCTCTTAGATATAGCTTACAGTCTAAAGAAAAAAGGAAGGGAAGAAAAATAGAAAGACTGTAAGGAAAAATGCTACAAAATTTGCCTATAGTTATAAAACAATCTAGTGTTCTATAATTTTGATATATTTATGCCATTATAAAGCTTCCCAGATTTAATAGGTCCTTTCCCTAATAAAAGTTGTTTTAGAATCATAGAATCATAGAATCATAGAATTGTTAAGGTTGGAAAAGACCCTTAAGATCATCAAGTTCAACGTTAACCTAGCACTGCCAAGTCCACCACTAAACCATGTCCCATAGCACCACATCTACCCTTCTTTTAAATACCTCCAGGGATGGAGACTCAACCACTTCCCTGGGCAGCCTGGTCCAACGCCTGACTACCCTTTCGGTGAAGAAGTTTTTCCTAATATCTAACCTAAACCTCCCCTGGCACAGCTTGAGGCCATTCCCTCTTGTCCTATTGCTTGTTACTTGGGAGAAGAGCCTGACCCCCACCTCGCTACAACCTCCTGTCAGGTAGCTGTAGAGAGCAGTAAGGTCTCCCCTCAGCCTCCTCTTCTCCAGGCTAAACAACCCCAGCTCCCTCAGCCGCTCCTCATAAGACTTGTGCTCCAGACCCTTCACCAACTTCATTGCCCTTCTTTGGACACGCTCCAGCACCTCCATGTCCTTCTTGGAGTGAGGGGCCCAAAACTGAACACAGTATTTAAGGTGCAGCCTCACCAGTGCCGAGTACAGGGGGACTATCACTTCCGTGGTCCTGCTGGCCACACTATTCCTGATACAAGGCAGGATGCTATTGCCCTTCTTGGCCACCTGGGCACACTGCTGGCTCATATTCAGCTGGCTGTCAACCAACACCCCCAGGTCCTTTCCCTCCAGGCAGCTCTCCAGCCACTCCTCCCCAGGCCTGTAGCGTTGCATGGGGTTGTTGTGACCCAAGTGCAGGACCTGGCACTGAGCCTTGTTGAATCTCATACAGTTGGCCCTGGCTCAACGATCCAGCCTGTCCAGGTCGCTCTGCAGGGCCTTCCAACCCTCCAGCAGATCAACACTTCCACCCAACTTGGTGTCATCTGCAAACTTACTGAGGGCGCACTTAATCTCCTCATCCAGATCATCAATGAAGATTTTAGATTTGGTTCAACTACTACTTACTTCAAGTTGCAAGATAAGAACGTTTGAATGATAATGAACCACACAATGTTACTACACTAAATATGGTAAAACTAACATACCTCTAGATGATGCTGTGTTTTCATTAAAATAAGGGTATTTTCACTCCTTAATTGATGGTTTTCTTCCTGAAGTTTAATTATATTGTTCTTGGCTATCGCTAACTGAAAAGAAACAAAAAAGAAAAAATAAAAGGAAAAGCAGTGTGACGACTTTTGTGAGTGGAAATAAAGAAAAAAATGTTCTGATGAATGCAAGACCAAGACATTCTCTGCTCTATTCTCACACTCTGCCAAACAGAGATTTAATCAATTTTAAAGAAAACATAAACCTCCTGGTTTTAGTAAAGAGCCACTTTCATTACACAACAGCATGTGTATTCAAGATACTTCATTATTTCATGTCTGGTAAAGAATACGCTTTCTTTTCATTGCTTCATTATGACTTAAAGACCCTCAATTCTCTTTCTTCATCCTAAATTTTTTCTTTCCATTTGGATTCAAATATATCCAGTTTTGTTCTTTTTTGGACATCTTAATATACCATATGGAGCAATTTACGTAAGAAAACCTCTCCCAGATGAAAAGAAAACATATTTACAAAAGCGGAAACAGTATACAGGCCCTACAGTATATACCTTAATGTCAGAATTATAAGCCAGCTGATCAAAATAGGTGGACAGTTGGGCTGAAGGCTTATAAAGGAACCAGAATACTCCGAGAATTAACACTCAGAAAAAATGTTTTCCCTCTATCTGGATACATTAACTCCCAGAGCGAGCTAGCTATCCCTTCAACAGCTGAATTTAGACATTTCAATTTTCCACTTCATTAACTATTTGTCAAGCATTAACTATTTCTCAAGATTAAAAAAATATTGTGTTCTCTCTTATAAAGCTAAAAATATTGGAATCTAGTCAAGCATCAAAGATAACCAGACATATAGGATATAAATACAAAACCAGAGCTAGACAATAAGCAAGAAACATTCCTTTGGCTAAAGCTGAGAACGGTAACAGAAATTGCTTGGTGAACTACTTTCTGTCTCTTTGTAGCAACTGGTGTCATCCATTATGGACTAGTCATCTGCACAAAATCAGACTGACAGCTGGCATTAAGAAAGGCTTTCTTTTGGTTTTGTCCAAAGTGGGAAATTGCAATGTTCTACAGAATTAATTTACTGATGCTTCAGGCTACCTAGGCAAGCTGACTTCAAATCCCTGCAGCTACTGCACCTTTTCTTCAAGCCAAAATACAAGTATCTGAACATATTATGCAGAACTTCTGTAGATTAAAATTATGTAAGTATATTTAGAAAAACAGTGTTTGAAAGTAAATAATATCTATTATACATTACTAAAAGAAAATAATACCTCTTCAATCAGTTTAGTGTTTGATTTCTCTAGTGAATCAACTCTTGCATGTAGACTGCTAACTGTGCTACTGAAAGAGAAAAAGAAAAGATGTTATTCAAAATTACATCAAAACTCATTCAATCAAGCTCAAAAGCTTTAATGTGAGGTAGAACGATTAATAGTTAAGTGCTAAAAGGTCTGCTCCCATTATTTGAGGTTTTCCTAAATATAAGAAAATTAGTCTCCTTTGTTGAACATTTATATACTTCTTTCCAACTCCAGTGTCACCCCTGTCACTTAAACTCCTGGTTGGGTGTGACTTTACATGTATTCTCCCTTTCCTTTATCCTCACAACTGTATTGTACCCAAACGTTTAATGACTTCCCTTAAAAGACAGTTTACAATCTTCTTGGTTTTTTCCCCCCTATATAACAAAACCATTCTCCAGGTTCTCCTCCTCCAAAACCCATTTCTCTTATAAAATTATTTGCTTCTCCACATTTTTTGAGATTTATCCTCAGGCTACCTCTTTCTTGATGCTTCTTGACCTCATTTGTAAGTCTCATCAGAATTTTATTCCCTTTTATTACTCTGTGGTTTTTTATCATAGCAAACAACATCCAGGCCTTCTCCATTACCTGATTGCCTATTTCTGCTGTAAGCACATTTTTTTTAGGCTGCACTTCACACGCAGAAAAAAAAAAAAAAACTATTCTGTAACACCATTTACTTTTCCACGTATTTCTATTGTGATGTCCTCAGAAGTTACCAGTTCATTAAGAATGGCAAGGTAAAGGAGATTAATGCATTTTAGGATGTGTGGAAAGGAACAGCTGACCTGAAATAAAATAAG